TTTGCTGGGTATTGATTTCGATATGACAATTCATGAGGGGTTTTGTTCTTTTAGGAAGTGCAGTCACTGCATTCTTACAGGTTCTGCAGTCAGTGCTCATAAGATTGTATAATTGATTAAGAATAGATGTTTAAATAAAGCTATTGCAGTTGATACCATGTTTAGGCTAAAAAAGCGTGATCTCAGTGCTGGCCATAGCACTGGGAAGTTTTCCCCTTTACTAAATAATTCCAGACCATTTGTCACTTCCCTGCATAACTGAATCTCATGGAAATAGTAGAAGACTCCACCCTAAGATGCAGTATAGGAGGAATTAATAGCCCTAGGGCAAAAGAAGGATGCTGGAGCAATTGCATCCTGCCCGGCTTCTACAGGCTTGCAAAAAGGGGTAGTAACTTCTGACTTTGGAGAAAGTCTTCTCCACATTGGGCTGCTCCCACTTTTTACCTATTTTGGGTAGTTTCCAGTTTTCCAATGCTCAAAAATAACTCCTTTAATCTGAGCTGAACAAGGCTGATGTGCTTTTGTCTGTCTCTGGAGGGGGTAAGTCTAAGGTATATCCAACTCACAATCTGGGCCATACTTCGTTTTGATCCACAGCTGAATTCAGTACTGGAAAGCCGCCGAAGTCAATCAGAAGTCCTGTTTGAGATTACAACAAAGTGTTCATAACTTTGAATAATATTTTTTTTTTTTTAATTTGTTCCCAGATTGCTGCAAAGTGTTATTGAATATTCATTGGGAAACAAGCTGGGAGCTAGCCAAGAGGGGGAGGGAGACTCATTGCCTCTTACTCCTTCCCTCTGATTTGTGCTGAACCATTGCCAGGCTTTAACTTTACAAGGTTTATTTTTATTGATTTTCAACAATAAACAGTGAGAGTATCTACAATAAAAGATTTACAGCGCATCACGAGGAAATACAACTCCCTACCAAATATTATATTGATCTATTCCCAGATGCTACTGAAACAGCATATAAAAGCCCAAATGAAGTCCAGTGATGGAGAACTTCCTCTCTCTAGTGACAGATGCGTATGACTGTTATGTCTTCAGAAAACAATAAAAGGGAAGGGAGTGACTCTGCTTCTTTGACCATATCTTCAACAGCCCAGTTAAATCTGTCAGCTCAATGTAATCCACATAAATAAAGAATTTGGGAACCAAGGGAACTGCTAGTGTGTCTGAAGATTCCCATTCTTTGAAGCTGCCTCTCCTGCTGCAGTCAGGCCATAATTAGTCACAGAAGGCCTTGTTGTGACTAGTAAATGGATGGACCAACAATGATTTGAATAGTCTGGAACCGGCTGGAGATATGCCTGGAGCCCTGAATATTCTCAAATGGGTGGGTGGGATGTAAATCACTAGTCATCGTATAAAATACAAATAAATCTGACTTCTATTAAAAAAAAAAAGGGGGGAATGCCGGTTTTCTAGACCATCATGTAGTTTCTGCTGAAACAACCCCCTGAAGTGTGATCTGGCGTGTAAATTTTTCCAGGAATCCTTCCTCCAGTTCTACTCCGTTTCCATTCTAACGCAATGGTTCAATAATTGGTGGCTTCTTTCTGGTCAGAAGGATGATGAATTTAGCCCTAAAGGTTGGAAACAGTAATGTGTACGAGTCTGCTGTAGAGAATGAATTTAGGGCTTTGCTTTCTAAGCAAGTTTCGGCTGCACCAGTCAGGGGAGTGCTTGCTGAAACTGTGAAGAATTAAACGTTGCAACATTGTTCCATCCTGATTCTCCATTGGAAAAACAAGGCAATAGATTGGAAACACCAAGTCTGGGGTTTTACTAGTGCTTTGGAGTCAGGAACTCGGTTTTCTTTGAATTTCAAAGGCCGTTTGTAGCTTTCATTGAGGGCCTTCTGAAAAGACTCATCTACGGTTTTTGTTTTTGTTCCCCAGTGATAACTAAACTGAGTAATAAAATAATTGCTGACATACCGTTTTATTTACAATGTTGTATTCAACAATAAACAGAAGGCATGCTGATCCTTCTGTCCTTTAATCTTTGCGGTTTTTTTTACCACGTCTTCAGCTCACTCCTCAGCCTGGTCACTGCTGGAAGAGGGGAAAAGGCGATGTGATAGGGGCAGGCAGAGATCCACAGAAGGTGGCAAACTCACTTCTTTCCCATTACAGAGAAGGAGTTAAGGAATAAAATCTGGCTGGAAAGAGTCACTGCCTTTGTGGGACCAGAGACACAACTTATTGTATTGAAGGGAGGACAGTTAACAGAGCTGTCAGAAATTTCAACGCCACCAGACAAGGAAAAGCAGATCTTACAGGGGTGAATGGATGGCTGGGTGATAGCTGCTAAAGGAAAGTGGAAAAGGCACAGGACGACTTAGGTAGGAAACTTAAATGCTCATGAGACCGTAGGGACATTTCTTTTTTTCCAGTGTGTTAGGTAAGTGGATCGGCAGAACATCTTACATTGAAAAGTTTGCATAGCTGAAGAACAAAATTTCTCTCTCAGAGGTCATTCCTGCATTTGTGCTATGAAGTGAAACATTGCAGGATCCAGACCTAAGATGGGTTAATCACATCAATACCTCACATCTGGAAAGAGAAGCTAAGCCTTCGGTGGCTGAATAGACAAACTCTGAAGATCAGCACACCAGCATTCCTTCAGCAGCGCTGGGGTATAAGCCTCCCAGTTACTTACTGGACACGTCCTGTCGGTGGCCTTTATTTCAATTCCAGTTGCAGTGTGGTGAGCAGTAACTCCATTAGTAAGTTCCCAATTTTTCATAAACTGGAAATGTATATTCTGGAACAGACTGGTTTACATTATGTTTTCCCCATTTGCAAATCGATCCTTAAGCCATATTATTTTCCTTTGCTACCTATGATTGTTCAAAACATTATCTTCCGAAGATGGCTCAGTCAACTGTGGATCCCTGGAACACATTAATGGCTTAATGATTAATATGGTCATATCAAGAATGTAAATGAAAAATTGTAACCGTGCAGCCCCTGACATAACTGAGATCCTTCTCCCGTCTTTGGTTAGGCTAATGATGTTTTCTGCTGTTACTGACTAAGGGTTTTCTTTGACAATTGAAGCATGATAGTGCAATCCAGAGTTCACTGGTGTTCATTTGCACATGAAATCTCTACGGATACATGTGGAAAAGGATGGGCAAAAGATCATCTTTTTGCTAGACTCATCTTTTGTTTCAGAGATTCTCTACAGAACTTGGCTGGAAAATGCACAAACAGGCACAGGGACACTTGTGTTCAGGAGATCACTATGTGGATTTCTGTTCTCCTAGAACAAGCGGTGACAAGCACGCAGGTCTTCTACTGGAGGCAATGGCTCCTGCTACAAAGACCCCACAGCTCCTTCCTTCAGGCTGGGTGGGGAACAGTGTGGAAATAACTGTTTCAAAAGCTCAGAGCTGGGCATTTTAACCTGCTAATGAAAAAATGCTAGCTGAAAACATTGCTCCGTATCTGACCTTTCAGATGTATGGATTCACATCTCCTGGGATCTGGGACAGCCAGAGCGAACACTGGACTGGGACTGAGTCATTACCGCCTGTCCCTCTCCCTTTTTGAAAGAGAAAGTGGGATCTGTTTTCTGTAGGAAAAGAAGTGATGTTACTAATGATCTAACATGCTCTCATTAAAATATCCTGGGACAGAATGGAGTCAATGAGTGACTAAAATGGAATACACACGTCTGTCTCTGTGATGGCTGGTAGGCACTAACCTGTTATAAAACCACTTCAGTGGTTGAAAGGAAAAGGTAGAACTTTAAAAACATCCCGAATGTTCCACATCAAACAGTTCAGACACTCTGCCATGTTGCTGAAAGAAGCAGGTGAACTGCTACACGCAAGGACGTTGGTTCTTTTGGTGTCAATTTTTGCTGTTGCTGGAGGCACCTTTCCTTCTAGAGAAGGCCGTCCTGAGACAACGTTCTAGCCTGGCATTCAGTAACAGCTTTGGTATTTGGTAGAACCATCCCGCCAATTGGATCTTTGAAGGCTTTGTACTCACTGGATAGGCGTAACAAGTCAGGAGCTGCCTTGTGGCGAGGAACAGAATGAAACGTGGACACAGACGCTACTAAGATCGCTGGTGACATAGGCTTGCTTTGAAAGCTGAAGTTGGAAGGTCTGGATGGCCCCTCGAGGACCCTTGGCATTCAAGAAACGATGAGAATGTAGAGATGCTGAAAAATGCAGGAAGGTCCCATCTCTGTACGCTACCCTAATGTGAACCACACCTGACCTCTCGACCTAGTGTAGGATGTCCAGCCAAAGAGAACCTTACAGAAGAACCTTTCTTCTGCTTCTGACTGAGCACAGGAATATTTTCGATGGAACTAGTCCTACAGGATGCTGGAAACTTACAGAAAACAATCTCGCAGTACCAGCAGAGTAGAGAATGGTTGAATCAATACTGAAGGCTGGACATCCTTGGAGGCTTATAAGGGGTGATTCCCAGCCCAATTTGACAGAGGGGTGTGGGATTGCTGTGGTGGGTTGTCCCTGGCTGGACGCTGGTGCCCACCAAGCTGCTCTACCACTCCCTGCCTCAGCTGGCTGGGGGTGGGAGAAAATAAGATGGAAAAAACCCTCACGGGTCAAGATAAAGGCAGTTTAATAAAGCAAAGGGAAACAGAAGATTTATTCTCTGCTTCCCACCAGCAGGCAATGTCCAGCCACCTCCTGCAAAGTAGGGGTTCAGTACGCGTAGCGGTTGCTCCAGCAGACAAACCTTGTAATAACGAGTGCCCCCCCGCTCCTCCTTTCTCTTCGCTGTGATTGCTGGGCAGACGCCGTATGGTCTGGAATATCCCTTTGGTCAGCTGGGGTCAGCTGTCCCGGCCGTGTCCCCTCCCGAGATCTTGCCCACCCCCAGCCTGCCGGTGGGGGGAATTGTTGGAGAGACAGCCTTGATGCTGCGCGAGCCCTGCTCAGCAGTAGCCGAACCACTGGTGGGTTATCAACACCTTTCTAGGTACCAGCACAGAGCACAGCACTGGGGGGGCTGCTGCGGGGACAATTAACTCAGCCCAGCCAGACCCAATACAATTGCTTTGTCTGCTTGCAGCTGAAAGATCCAAAGAGGATTCGAACTTGTCAAAATTAATTTTGGTATCATTGTTACTGGTAATTTCTGCTCTAGCATCACGGCTGCCGAGGGATCTAAGAACTGCAGACCACGTACCATGAAATACCCGAGGTAATTCCAACTCTGCATCATCGAGCAGCCTGGTGTTCCCAGGTTTAAGCTACGCTTAACTTCAGAAGGATTTACGCAGGACAAAATCAGGATCCATTTTGCAAATGTTCTGTTCCTTGTCACCCTCTAATCGAGGTCTAGCCATGTTCGGAGACTTGCTGACAGCCTAGGGCAAGAAGTGGGAACAGCAGAAGAGTTCTGCTCTTTCTCAGGGTTTCTGCTCCGGCAAACCAGAGCCAGAGGCCAGGTGCCTGCATCACAGGTGCACTCATGACATCTTGAGGCAAGATGTTTTGCTTGCTCAGCCTTCTTAGAAGATTCCTGTGATGCTCGTCAAGCCAAGTGAAATGTATCTCATGCGGACAGTCCTTAACGGCACCACTAGGTTACGCAGTAAGTGAATGCTAGGGAGGCTGTGCTCGTTCATGGGGTATGCGTCCATCTGGAATTCCTCCTAGGCTAAGGCAGTTCCTCCAACCAAACCAAACCAAACCAAAAAAATAAAATCACAGAAATGCTACAATTTCTAAAGCTAAACCCAATCTCAACAACTATTTAAGTGTTCATATAAGTATAAATTATAGTGTATATATAGTATATAAGTATAAATAAAAGACTACCTGGTAGAACATTGGCTAACGAGAAGCTCTATTCGTAGCCACCGGTAGTCTGACGACCGAGGGGACAGCAGGATGAACACCGCTCTTGCACAAAACCCCACAGTTATTCCCCGCTCAGGTGCTGCTGAACAACGTTCTCCCGTACAAGAGATGTACAGGTACCAACAGCCGCACGTGGTGCCTATGTACCGTAACACGTGGGGAAGAATTCCAAGTATTCTTAAAGATAGCAGAATCCAGGAGGCTTTTTGGTTTTGTCTATGTAGTACCAAGAGGAGGCTGAAAGAAACTGGCAAAGGTAAAGAAGCTCAGTATAAATGATTCGGTTTTAATATAGAGGGTGACAGAGAAATTCCTATCCCAAGGACACACTTTATGGGGAATCAGGGCAGTTTCACCAGGCCTAGATGTCTCAAAGGAAGAGCCTGTTGGCAGCCTGGGAAACTCAAACACTATAAATCACCAGGACCAGGTGCTATTTTTACAAGAACTCTGAAATAAATGTGAAAAAAAAATAGGGATACAGCTAAGAATTTGTCCATTACCATTAAAAATACCTCCTGCTCTGGACAACTGCTTGTAGCTAAAAAAAAAAGGTGCAGTTTTAGAGGAAACTGAGATACTTTCATAGCGTAAGGTAGCGCCTTTCTCAGGCTACTTACTTGATGCCTGAATAAGCATAAAATAACGGGATCACAGTATCACAGCTCTGTAAGTAACCTGTATGTTCCAAGCTGCTAGTATTGCTTGAACAAAATAAAAATTACAGATACTCCAAGAACCGTGAAGAAGTCCTAAAGTTTAAGCCTAATTTGGAAATGGAGTAACCACTCCTCAGAAGAGGAAAAATGGTGTAATTTTTCTGATCAGGATAGATTATTTGAATTATCTTCAACCCAGAACAGGCTCTTATCAATGCCACTAATTGGTGAGGGAGATTGTAAACCCTCCTGTCAAAAAACCCTGAAAAAGCCTCTTCAAACATAGAAAAAAGAACACAGTTTGAGGGCAGACTGAAGGAGGGAAGAGGTGAATCCCCTTGCTGGTTGCTGAACAGCCATGAAGTTCTTTAATGCTGCTAGTTGCTCCCTGCTTTCCCTTTTCAGCAGCTTTAGAGAAAGTAGGAGCATAAAGCAGTTTAAAGCCACCTTTACTGGTGCTCTCTTTAGCAACAAAAGCCAGAACTTTGGCATAATAGAGGTCTGTGATGCAATTCACAAATGTTCAGTTATCTCAGTGTTCATCTACTAGAAACATAAGGTATTCCTTTAGTAAGCTTTAATGGGTACTTATATTTATTGTATGCTCATTTTACTGTTACTTCAGGAAACATCCCAGGAAAAGAATATGGAACTTGCAAGGAACTGCACAGTTAGTCCAATAAAAGCAAATTCCAGTACCCTTTGAAATCCTACCTGCAGCTTGCTTTCATGTGCTAATGGTAATAGTTATCACTGCCAACAACCTTTGAACAAAACTGGTTTGTGACTTCTATTCTTTTTTGCACATATCCTTGATTTAACAAGAAAGATGGGGAACATCTGTGGGCAACTTACCACTGGGCACTTCTTCGGAAGCAGGAGATACGAACTTGAATCCCCTCGAGCTTCTGAAACCCACGTTTTCAGTTTTGTGGAAGAGTCCCCTCGCCTTGAGATTGCTTCAGCCAGTTTCTTAAACCCTTCCGATGGATTTTAAGAAGTCATAGCAATCTTTAAGCAGCTCTTTGGTCTTTCCCCGACTTTCCCATTCCCCCTCTTCGACCACAGCATGTATCCTTACCCTCTGTTGTTTTTGCCAACTGCTCTAAAATATCTGATTACAATCGACTTCTTTATGTGTACCAAAAGGGAAAGGGAAAAAGAAAGAGAGACCTTGAGCACTTTGGCTTCCTAGGCATCATGCTAGTCTTCTGTTCTGTGGTGTAGTAGAGGATTAATTCTCCCATCGGTTTCTCTACTCTTGTTACAGCTATGGATTTTTAGCCACAAATCCAGTCCTTCAAATGAAGATGAGCTTTTATAACTTAGGCCATACCTGATGCAGAAAGAGATCACCTCTGTATTGTTTATCTCAGAGCAGAAGATCCTGTGCCTCTGAGACAGAGTTCTTCCTGGAAACGTTCCTTGGGTCACCCATTTCCACCACAGTGCCTTTTAAGCATGGGTATGTCATCAGATTCTAGACAATAACTGCCTGCATACACTCATACAGTACCCACAGCATTCCATCACCACACGGATATACAGTGACCACTGCAAGGCAGATTTTAGGTTCCCTTTACAAACAAACAAAAAAGCCAGAATACCTAATACATGTCCTTCAATTTTCCAGTATTTTAGACACTTATTTCTTTTGAAGAACAAGGTTTTTGGTTTCTTAACACATGGGAGAAAAACAAACTGGAAGTAAGCAGCTAGCTGCATTGGTAGCAGCTTAAGCCACATGCAGAAGAACAGATTAAAGCAAAGCAAACATGAATAAAAAAATCCCAAGCTTCTTGGTAAAACTGTACCTCATTAAATAGCAGAAGCTCTCATATACATGTCTGCAAGAGAGTCTCAGACATTAAACAAGGCTGGAGCCTGTACGTGGCTAGTTCACTGCTAGCTTACAAACGTTTATGTTTTAAAATCCATTACCTGCATTCTTGACAGAAGTTTATCTAAATACTTTGCATTAGCCAGGCTGCAGATGTGATATTAAAGTATGCTAGTCTTAAATTTTGATCACAGGGACAAAGTACCCTTTCTACATTTTCACTGCAGCTCTTTAAAAATAAGCTTCTATAGACATTAAGAAACTGAGTGCAGATACTCTACGTAACCAAGCTTTGACATTTATCTAATACACAAGGGGGATAAAAAACTTGATTCAAAGGTAATTTTTTTACAAGTGCACACATTCCCCCCTCCCCCCATTTTCTTTATTGGTTATATGGGAATGAAAAAAAATAGCTTGAGTGCAGCGAATTGCTGAATTCAAGCAGAATTCACTTTTCTGGAACCTCCACAACAATCCAGCCAACAGGGGGCTGTCTGGCTACACCATGTCACCGAATCTGCAGCAAAACACTTTCTCTGAGCACACAACCTACCAGCCATGCACGCTTCCTAAAACTGGCTGTTGCACAGGTCATTTAACAGATTTCTTACCTCCAAAACAGTAGAGGTCTTTTTCATCTTTTTTCTGATGCTACTGGAAATTTCTTATTTTTGTGTCTGAAGTTTCATTATACATAGATGGATAATATAGTTTATATATTTGTTGGTACGTCTGCAAATAACAGATATTGCTTACTGGAAAAGAGGGAGACTTTCACATTCTCTTGATGACAGGAAAGGTGTGTCACAGCTGTTTCCATATGCTAAGCAGCTGTATCTGTATGAGCATTTTTGTGTTAGTTTCATATATGGATAGCAATCTTCGGTAGAAGGAAGGAGGTAGACCAAGAAGTTGTTAGCCCCTTTGATACTGACTTAAAGAGCAGATAGGCAAAATCTGTCTGTAGGAGTATCAAGAAAGGAAGAATATGGCCCTGAATATTCCTTACATTGGTTTTAAGAAATGGAAATTAACTTTAATACTGGACTGCCATTCTTGAGAGCAAAGGGAACTTTTCCTTGGTGCCAGCACTGTTGCTCACACAGCAAGCACATTCAGCTGGCCGAGCTTACCAAAACCAAACCCAAAGTCATTCAGTGAAACCACCATGGAAATATCAGAGCCAGGCTAATACTGAAGGAAACAGGAAGACTCTGTCAGTCCCAAACTTGTCTGGCTTGAGAATCACAGGACTGCAGAACCATAGTCATATATTATTGTTGACTATTCTAGCTGGTCCAATAATATAATCCTTGAAGCTTTTCCTTTGCCTTTATTTCAATAAAATATTAAAAATGTATATACATTGGAGACTTTATATTCTACAATTTATGCCTTATACAGCTCAAATTTTAAAATACTTAAGTTTTTTTGGAGTATTTTATGAGAGATTCCAAAATGTTTTACTTTTAAAACCACTTTAAAGCGTAAAAGCTGCTGACAGAAGGTTCCTTTATAGGTAATAAAGCCACGCGCTTGCCCTGCAAAAACCATAGGGAAATGTGAAACTTTCTATCCATGGCTGTCTCCTATGGCTATAAACAGCAGAAGAAAACATTACAGATACATTATTCCCATCTCTCAACAGAAGCTAAGTAAGTCAGCCTCTAGCTACTCAGCACTGCATACTTAAGATTGAAGATTCAAACTGCTATAATTCATTTGTTAATTTCAGAACTTTTGAACATAGGGTTCAAATTTTACATTAAGAGACGGAAGCAATATTAGGTGAATTTCATTTGATTTATTAACACAGAGCTATTACAAGTGAATCAAATGTGGAAAAAAATATTGAGTTGTTGCACGTGAGAGCCATTACATAACTTCCAACAGAAATAAACTGCTTAATTTAGAGTGAAAAAGAAATACCCCAGTGATACTAGCCCCCTCACAGAAAGATGAACAATGTCATTTGTGGCATGGCATTTTCTCCATTATTTTTCTTATTTCTGCTTATAGTTAAACATTTTCTTCCGACACACACTCACAACTGCCACCTTAGAAAGGAGGTTCACATATATCTCAGACATAAGTTTTCCTTCAAATACATTTTAAGCTTTTTGTTTGTCTGTTTTAAGAAGAATTGCTACTTCTGCTTCAAGTTAAACTGTGGTAAAATAGTAGCTCACCACTTCAGATATATTTCTATCAATCATTTCTTGTGTCTTCTATGACAAGAGATTGTCATGAAGAACATAAGGGGAGTCTGAACATTTCAAATTCCAATCATTACTGCTAGTATTGCTACCTGATTAGGAGATACTTCCCCCAATACTTAACGAGATACCACTATTAAGGGAAAAGTGGAAACATTTTCACATGTCTATATCTGAATATCAAGTACAGAACCACTCTCACTCAGTAAGTGTGCCATATGCAGCACCAAGAAAACTGCTTTTGAAACTTGATGAACGATGGCCTGTAGAAGTCCTAAACGCATACGTGTAAGTCACTTTACATTTTAAAAGATCTGCTGTTTACCACTGTACATAAGAATTTAAGTGTTACAATTTAACTAGTTCATTCTTTCTGCAACATAGTTCTTTACAGGTAAATCTGTTGTAAAATATGTTGAAGTTCAAACATGAACACTACCTTTAGTGTATAAAAGATTTTGCAGAATATTTAATGTGTTGCTCATGAAACCACATTCTAAAAATAGGACAAACAAGTGTTTAATAGTAATAGCTAAATATGCAAAATGAATCAATGACAAGATAGGAGACAAATCAGAGTATTTTGGAGCTCACAGGACTGTACGAATAGACCATGAATCAACAACATGGAAACTTGGTTTCTCAGCTTGAGCTGGCAGCAAGGAAAATTGATTGCAGATCTGGTCTTTAAAAGATGCACAATACTCATCTCTTTCTCTGAGATCAGAGTTAATAAATGCCACAGAAAATTCCATAAGGAAATGCATTACTGTAGTACAGCTACTAAATAAAAGTGGTTTTTAAACAAACAAAACCCAACAGCCCTTCAAGGTAAGTGTCTATTACCCCTATGTTAAATGTGATATGGAGGCGTAGAAACTATAGTATGCAACAGTTTGAGGTACCCTAAGAAGACAGAAGACTGTCAACAGACATGTTACACGGTATTTTAATTCAAATGGCAACTCCCAAGAAGCTCAGCTGCAAATGTGAACAGCCAGTGTTTCTGTCAGCTGTGAGGGTCTTAAGTCACCCCCTGAAGTGAGGAACACCAGTACTATGAAAACAATGGCCTGGTAACTTGTTTAGCATCATATAAGAATAAGGGCAGAAAAAGAAAACATCATGTCCAATTCTTAGGAATTCTCCTTTGACACAACCATGAAGACATGGCTGCTTCTACTCGCAGTCTTCTGTTCCATTGCCTACAGAATTTTCTACGAATTTCTGCAGCACCTATCAGACTTCTTGCTTGCACAGCCCACAAACATCTTCCCTGGCTCTGCACCACACCAGGTCAATCCTATCATTAGATTAAATATTCTGTATGATCACAAAGACTGCTTCATAGTACACTAACACAAGGGGGCAAATGAAGATTGCCGAATCTTAAAGCAGGAGCTATCTATCTTCTTAGTGTTTCATTTTGTGATCTTCATATTCTCTTTACAGTTTAGTTATTAGGTTGTGTTTTGGTTCCCCCCCCCAAAAAGCATTTCCCCCTTTGAGTTCCAATTCCCATTTGTGGAAGTAAATATTTTAACTAAGACGATGAGAGAACTGAAGCATCTTTCACATGAAGAAAGGCTGAGAGAGCTGGGAGTCCAGCCTGGAGAAGAAGAGGCTGGTGTGTGTGTGATCTTGAAGTTTATAAATGCCTGCTGATGGGGATAAGGGAGAGTAAAAAACATAGCCAGGCTCTTCTCAGCTGTGTCCAGTGACAGGACAGGAGGCAACAAGCACAAAATTCTACCTGAACAGGACAGGTTGCAGAGTGTCCATCCTTGAAGATACTCAAAACCTGACTGGACACAGCCCTAAAAAACCCTGCTCTGCCTGACCCTGCTCGGATTAGATGATCTCCAGAGGTCCCTTCCAACCTCAAATATTCTGTTATTTTGGGGTTCCTTTTCAGGACCAAATTAATGAAGTAGCTGAGAGCACTAATAAGGTTGCCCTCTTCTGTGTGGAATACAATGAGGGGGATGAAACTGACAGTGATTTCACAGATGACAGCAAAAGCTACTACTTAACAGTCTGCATTCCCTTCTGGATCTGAAGTGCAGAGTGCTCTAATGAACGTTAGGAGTGATCCAAGGTGTGCAAGCCCCTTTCCCCCAAGACTGACTCCTCTTTGCCTCAGGCCAGATCCCTTCTCTCAGGCTGCTGCTTCTTCCAATTTCAAGAAACAAACAAAACCCCCAAATCTTTGCTCAACCTGGACAGAAGTTTCCCCCCGCCCTTCCAATTTTCCAGTTCATCAGATCTGTCCTTCCCCATCAGTTCTCAGCTCCAACCTTTCAACATTAGATTTTTAGACACACTCCTCTCACTAGTTGTCTTCGCTCCTATACAGCTACTAGTCTCAGTTTATTTTCAAGCAGGCCTATCTTTTCTTCTCCTTTTATATGAATTAAGCATCTTTCTTCCCCCATACAGTTCCTAAGCCTAGCAGAAAATAAGCACCTGAACTGAAAACAGCGAGCCTTCCTTTCTTGCATCAGGCACCATCCTTAGGACCCCAGAGCTGCAATGCAGAGGGAGTTCCATTCAGCCATGGGCTATGGCACTGCCCATGCAGGTAAAACCCTGGAAAATACAATTGCTAATATTATTTAAGGCAACTGTAAACCATGCAAGAAATATGACATTCTTTTCAAAGATTTAGGAACTGAGTAATTTGAGTAAGCCTTCATAAGCACTTGAAGTACTTGACGTACACAGACAGGAACTTTGGTTCCTCAGTTGAGCTCTGGTTCTGCAAATGCTCAAATTGTATTTTCATCTTGTCAATAAACTGTTACAAGCTGCTAGGGCCACCAAACAAGGTAGTCCAACCTTTCCCCTTCTGCTTCTTCCCACTCCCTGCCATCCCCTGCCTTGTGAACCAGAAGGAAGCAGTCTGTTTCGCTGTTCACATGAAGGCCTGCACTGGCACAATGAAGTAGTCAGGAATAAATGGTTTGGCCACTGGACTTTGACAAAGCCACGCAAATAGACTTACTTGTTGCATGTTCTCAAATCTTTCTGATCAGCTCTTTAGATTCACATCTACTCATAGAAGTACTGGTAAAAAAGCCTAGATACATTAAAATATTAGGTCTACAAGAGTAACAGGATGGATGGCGCTCTGCAAGCACCATGGTCTGCAGTGTGCTAACAAAAATCAGTGACCATTAAAGGGAGGGAAATAGTGGAAGAATAATGTCTCTTTCTTTTATAACCCACAGAGTCTGGTCTTTCCAAGCATTTCTAAGTTTCCAAATGGCTGAAATGTATGTGCAGGTCTTTAGTATTAAGCAGTTACAGACTAACAAATATACTGCCACTTAAAGAAGCCTCAGTGAGAAAGCTATCCAACTTTGAGCCCGATAGCATATTTTTTTTGAGTAGTCAACCTCATTTTGGCCACATATCTTAAGAGACCCATAGTAGGTAAATGTACACACAGAAGTGTTTACTTTATGAAAAGCTGTAGGCTATCTAATACTGCACAGCTTTACTATTGAGAACCACTCAGGAGTGAACTAAATTGGAAATTTTAGCCATCGGTAATTTCACCAGTTCAAATCCATAGCAGAGGCAGACAAGAAAAGTGTGATTTTTTTACCAGCACATACACCAGGCTGAAATTCTATACGGTCACATAATGCAGATTTATGAATTATAACAACTTGGATTCATATTCATCTACGTCATGTTTGTACCTGTGCAGCTGCACCAGTAGCAGGCCTGTGAAGCCTGAAGTCAAAACAAATCCCCAGTGCAGATAAGCTTTATTCCCTCCTTTTAAAACATCTATATGATGTATAAAGTTGAATCTGTGAGCACTTATTTGAAGAAGGCATGTGTATTTTAATGGTAGAATATAATGGGGCTAATAAAATGAGATTAGCAAGTGATACTGAGTCATGATAGTGAAGAAAATAATATCTTAAAAGGAAACACATTTTCAGATCTTGACTGTATCTAAAATTAGTGACATTTACATAACCATTAGTCTACATTTGACTCACCACACAGTTCTTGCATGCAGCTTTTAAAAGGAAAGAAGCCCATGTAATTTCCATTCTCACTGCAGCGATTTCAATCATCTCAATGAAAAATTCCCCTGCAAGAGAAACATCTTAGTGGAAGATGAGAAAAGAAAATTAGTAAGTTCACAGTCAGATACATAGTTTAAACTTCTAACCGTAAAAATGTTACCTGTCTATAGACACAGTGATTTAAGAAATGAAGTGTTTAATAATTTTTGTTAAAAATTTTGGAAGACACTTTCACTTTATGTGCTCCCTTTGCTAAAAACATGACAAAACATTTCCCAGTTCCATTCATTAAGAAAATGCTGCAAAAATGAACACACATTTTTAAGGGTTTTAATAAAGAAATACTGACATTTAAAGTAACACCATTTTAATAATTTTTTTATATATATAAACACACTTACCAAAGGATTGTTAGACACGTGTAGCTTGAGATGGCTCCTTTAATAAACTCAGCTTTCATGTAAACCAATGAAAGTTATATACACGTCTATTCTATATTTAACATTAGATACTATGAAGTCCTAAATATTGTTTCTGAATAGATGAAAATACAAACATAAGCCAAGAAAGTGTTCATAAACAATCAACATATAAATTATAACAACAAAAAGGCATCAGGAAATACACAAAACGTCCTTTTTTATGACTCACATGCAGAAGAGGCTAGCCTTACTTCACCAGAACA